GCATTTTTCCCATATTTTTCCGGGTGAATCCGCACCTTTTTGGCTTTGGGGAAGAAGGGCAGCCACTTGTCCCTCTCGGGGATTTTCTCGCTCTCACGGCTGCGCCACTCCCGGCCCCGGATCCCGGCGTGGGCCATGAACGTGCTCAGGGCGAAGGCCAGGGCTGAGCTGGGGAGAATTCCCAAAATTCCAGAGGTGGGAATGGGAAAATGCGATTTAAGAGAGTGGAATTCCCAAAATTTGGGAGTTGGGAATGGGAAAAGGCGATTTCAGAGAGTGGAATTCCCGAAATTTGGGATTTGGGGATGGAAAAATGAATTTCAGAGGGAGGAATTCCCAAAATTCGGGAGTTGAGAATGAAAAAATGCAATTCCAGAGGGAAGAATTCCCGAAATTCCAGAGTTGGGGATGGGAAAATGTAATTCCAGAGGGAGGAGTTCCCAAAATTCCAGAGTTGGGGATGGAAAAATGCGATTTCAGAGGGAGGAATTCCCGAAATTCGGGATTTGGGGACAAGAAAATGCAATTCCAGAGGAAGGAATTCCCAAAATTCAGGATTTGGGGATGGGAAAATGAATTCCAGAGAGTGAAATAAAGAAAATCTGGGATTTGGGAATGGAAAAATGTGATTCTAGAGGGAGGAATTCCTGAAATTTGGGAGTTGGGAATGGGAAAAAGAATTCCAGAGAGAGGAATTCCCGAAATTCGGGAGTTGGGGACAAGAGAACACAATTCCAGAGAGAGAAATTCCCGAAATTTGGGATTTGGGGATGGAAAAATGCGATTCCCAGGATTTTCCCGGGGGAAGCGCCGCTCACCTCCGCTCCTCCTCGTACTTGGACCTGGGGAAAACAGGGATTGGGAATTTCCATGGGATCACAATCCTCTCCCAGATCCCAAAATTCCAAACCCCAAATTCCCAAAATCCCAAAATGCCATTCCCAATCCCAAATTCCCATTCCAAATCCCAAAATCCCATTCCCACCCCATCCCAATCCCCAATCCCTGCCTCCTCCCCGATCCCATTTCCCGCTGTTCCTGCCCTGAATCCCGTCGGGAATTCCCAAAATTCCAGAATTCCTGAATTTCCCCCAAATCCCACATTCCAGAATTCCCAAATTTCCCAAATTCCCGGGATTTCTCACTCACAGGATGTCCCCGAGGTGTCCCATGTGTCTCTCTGCCAATGCTCTCTCCCTGTGCCCGTTTCCATTTACCCATTCCCACATTCCCAAATTTCCCCGAATTTCCCGAATCCCGTGAGGATTTCCCACATTCCAGAATTCCCAAATTTCCCAAATTCCCGGGATTTTGGCTCACAGGATGTCCCCATGTGTCTCTCAGCCAGTGCTCTCTCCCTGTGCCCGTTCCCATTTACTGATTCCCAATTTCCCGATTTTTCCCCAATTTCCCGAATCCCGTGGGTAATTCCCACATTCCAGAAATCCCAAATTTCCCAAATTCCCAGGATTTCTCACTCACAGGATGTCCCCGAGGTGCCCCATGTGTCTCTCAGCCAGTGCCCTCTCCCTGTGCCCGTTCCCATTTACCGATTCCCAATTTCCCGATTTTTCCCCAATTTCCTGAGTTCGGTGGGTAATTCCCACATTCCAGAATTCCCAAATTTCCCAAATTCCCGGGATTTTGGCTCACAGGATGTCCCCGAGGTGTCCCATGTGTCTCTCWGCCAGTGCTCTCTCCCTGTGCCCGTTCCCGTCGAGCTCCTGCAGTTCGTTCTCTCCGTACAAACTGCCCAACCCCAGCGTCCGCTTCGTCCTGGGGGAAAAAACACCACATTTGGGATTTTCCTGAGGAAAATTGGGAATTTCACAAAATTTGGGATTTTTCCTGACAAAATTTGGGGATTTTCTGAGTAAATTTGGGGTTTTTCTGACAAAATTTGGGGCTTTTCTGACAAAATTTGGGGCTTTTCCAGATGAAATTTGGGATTTTTCTGACAAAATTTGGGATTTTTCTGACGAAATTTGGGATTTTTCTGACGAAATTTGGGGCTTTTCCGGCAAAATTTGGGATTTTTCCGATGAAATTTTGGGATTTTCCAAGAAAATTTGGGGCTTTTCTGACAAAATTTGGGACTTTTCTGACCAAATTTGTGATTTTTTTCTGACAAAAATCAGAATTTTTTCTGACAAAGTTTGGGGTTTTTCTAACAAAAATTAGAAGTTTTTTTCAACAAAATTTGGGGATTTTTTTCCTCGAGAATTGGGGATTTTTCCCCCAAATTGGGGATTTTTTCCCCAAAATTTGGGAATATTTTCCTCCTAAAATTTGGGGATTTTTCCCCCTGATAATTGGGGATTTTTTTCCCCAAAATTGGGGATTTTTTTCCCCAAAATTTGGCGATTTTTCCCCAAAATTTGGCGATTATTTTCCCCCAAAATTTAGGAGTATTTTCCTCCTAAAATTTGAGGATTTTTTTCCCAAAATTTGGGATTTTTCCCCAAAATCTGAGCCCCACCTGTAATCCTGGAGCTGCTCGTGGATCTCGGGCAGCGTCGCCTCCTGCGCCTCCTTCAGCGCCGCCCGCGCGTCCTCCCCCGCCCGCAGCCGCACATCTGGGGAGAAATCCGGGAATTTGGGGAAATTCGGGAATATTTGGGGAAATTCGGGAATATTTGGGGAAAATTGGGGAATATTTGGGGAGAATCGGGGAAAATTTGGGGAGAATTGGGGAAAATTTGGGGGAAATTCGGGGGAAATTCGGGGGGAAATTAGGAAAATTTGGGAATATTTGGGGAAAATTTGGGAATATTTGGGGAAATTTAGGGTTATTTGGGAAAATTTGGGGAATATTTGGGGAAAATTGGGGGAGAATTCGGGGAAATTTGGGGAATATTTGGGGAGAATCAGGAAAATTTGGGAAAAAATTCAAGGAGAAATGAGGGAAAAATCAGGGAAATTTGGGGGAAATTTGGGAACATTTTGGGGAAATTCGGGGAAAATTTTGGGGAAATTCGGGGGAATTCAGAGAAAAATCAGGGAAATTTGGGGACAATTTGGGGAAATTTGGGGGAGAATTTGGGGGAATCAGGGAAATTTGGGGAAATTCAGAGAAAAATCAGGGAAATTTGGAGACAATTCAGGGGAAATTTGGGAAAATTTGGGGAATATTCGGGAAAAATTTGGGGAAAATTCAGGGAAAATTTTGGGGAAAATTTGGGGAAAATTCTGGGGAAATCCAGGAAAGTTTGGGAATCCCAATCCTGACCCCCCTGGGCTCCTTTTCCTTTGGAAAATTCCCAAAATTCCTGCAAAATTCCCGGCGCTCACCGATCTCCGCCAGGAGCTGCTCCGGAATCTTCACCCGGAGGGGCTGGAAAAGATGGGAAAAAAGGGAAAAAATTCAGGTCTGAAATCCCAGGAATCCATGGAATTCCAGGTGGGAATTCCCAAATTCCAACAATTTTCAGGGATCCTGGATCCCTCTTTTCCTTTCCAGGACAATTTTCCCGAAAATTCCTGGGAATTCCCTCGATCCCAAAATCATTCCAAACCCTTCCCAAAATTACAAGAAATTCTCTCCTTCCAAGGGAATTTTGAGCTCCTGGATCCCCATTTTTCCTTCCAGGACCCTTTTTTCCCAAAATTCCAAGAAATTCCCTCCTTCCCACCCCAAAATTCCGCCCCTCACCGCGTTCCTGTCCAGGAAGATGTTCCAAATGTCCCTTCCCAAATTTCGGGAATCTTTGGGATTGCTCTGCTGGAAAACGTCGGCGCAGAGGTGGAAAAGCTGCGGAAAAATTCGGGAATGAGGAAGGGAAAAATTTGGGAATGAGGAGGGGAAAATTTGGGAATGAGGAGGGGAAGATTTGGGAATGAGGAGGGGAAATTTGGGAATGAGGAGGGGAAATTTGGGTATTAGAGATGGAAAAATTTGGGAATTAGAGATGGAAAAATTTGGGAATGAGGAGGGGAAGATTTGGGAATCAGAGAGCGAAAACTCAGGAATGAGGAGGGGAAAAATTTTGGAATGAAAAGAGAAAAATACAGGAAATCCTGGGAATTCTTCTCCATCCTTATTCCCAAAAATATTCCCGGAAGGTGGGAATGAATTCCCAACCCCTGGCACCTCCCAGGCCAATCGGAAATTCCTGGAAAATCCTGGGAATTTTCCTCACCAGAGGGCTGGGATCAGCCTGGGAGAAAAGGAAACGCAGGAAAACCCCCAAATGGGCCGGGCGGGATTTGAGCGTGGGCAGATCCTGGAACACGGAATCGCTCTGGAAAAATGGGAAAAAAAACGGGAAAAATGGGAATTACAGCGGGATCCTGGAACAGGGAATCGCTCTGGAAAAACGGGAAAAAAATGGGAATTACACCGGGATTGGGAAAGAATGGGATCAGGCAAGAGTGGGAATTACACCGGGATCAGGGAAAAATGGGAATTACACTGGGATATGGATCCCATCCCAAATCCCATCCCAAAATGCCAAATCTCATCCCATTCCATTCCAAAATCCCATCCCATGGATCCAATCCAATCCCATCCCAAATCCCATCAATCCCACCCACAGAAATCCTGGAATCCTGGAATCCCAGAAATCCCGGAATGCTCCGCCCAAGAAAAGCCCCTCAGGACTCCTCGAAATTCCCAAGTTCCCAGAATTCCCAAATCCCCAAAATTCCCAGAATTCCTGGAATCCCTGAAATCCCAGATTCCCACCTCGTTGTTGCAGTCTCCGGGCTCACAATCCTCCTCGGGGCCGATGATTTGGGGCCGCCCTGAGCCCTGGATGGGAAAAAAAATCCCAAAATATTCCAGAAAAAAAATGGGATTGGGAATGGGAATGGGTCAGGATCCACATTGGCATTGTTGGGATATTCCTAGGACCTTCCCAGCCATTCCCAGGATATTCCCAGAATTTCCCAGACATTCCTAGCACATTCCTAGGACTTTCCACCATATTCCCTGGATTTCCCAGGATATTCCCAGAATTTCCCAGGATATTCCTCGATATTTCCAGGCCATTCCCAAACCATTCCCAGAACATTTCCAGGATTTTCGGGGATATTCCCAGCACATTCCCAGGCCATTCCTGGGACATTCCCAAACAATTCCCAGGCTATTCCCAGCACATTCCTGGGACATTCCCAGCAGATTCCTGGACATTCCCAGGATATTCCCGGTCATTCCCAGACCATTCCCGGATATTCCCAGGAGATATTCCCGCCATTCCCAGGACACATTCCCGGCCATTCCCAGGATATTCCCAGGATACATTCCCGGATATTCCCAGGATACATTCCCGGATATTCCCAGATCATTCCCAGACCATTCCCAGCACATTCCCAGGATACATTCCCAGATATTCCCAGGATACATTCCCGGATATTCCCAGATCATTCCCAGACCATTCCCAGCACATTCCCAGGATACATTCCCAGATATTCCCAGGATATATTCCCAGGAGATATTCCTGGATATTCCCAGGAGATATTCCCAGATATTCCCAGGATATTCCCGGTCATTCCCAGACCATTCCCGGCCATTCCCAGGATATATTCCCAGATATTCCCAGGATATTCCCGGATATTCCTAGATATTCCCGGCCATTCCCAGACCATTCCCAGGATATATTCCCAGTATATTCCCAGCACATTCCCAGGCCATTCCCAGCACATTCCCAGGACATTCCCAGACCATTCCAGGATATTCCCAGCACATTCCCAGGACATTCCCAGCACATTCCCAGGATATATTCCCGGATATTCCCGATATATTCCCAGGATATATTCCCGGATTTTCCATCCCACCTGCAGCGGGGGCAGGGCCCCGTCGGAGCAGAGCCGTCGGTGCTGGGGCCGCCGGGGAGTGAGGAGAGGTGACGAGAGGGGGCTCAGGGCATCCGGGAGAGCCTGCAGGGACCCAAATTAGCCCAAATTAATTATCCCAAATTATCCTGGAATTCATCCCAAATTATCCTGGAATTTATCCCAAATTATTCCAAATTAATTATCCCAAATCATCCCAAATTAATTATCCCAAATGGTCCTAAATGATCGCGATTTATCCCAAATAAATTATCCCAAATTATCCCGGAATTTATCCCAAATTATCCCAAAGTAATTATCCCAAATTATCCCAAATTTTCCTCAATTTCCCCCCACTCTTTTCCCCGTTTTTCCCTATTTTTTCCCATTTTTTCCCATTTTTCCCCCATTTCTCCCCATTTACCTCTCCGAGGGACGGCAGCCGCTCCGTTCCTGACTCCAGCCCGCTTTGCCCAATTATTCCCATTTTTTCCCCTATTTTTTCTGGGTTTTTTCCCATTTTTTTCCCCATTTTTCCCCAATTTCTCCCTGTTTTTCCCATTTTCCCCATTTTTTCCCCCTTTTTTTACCTCTCCGAGGGACGGCAGCCGCTCCGTTCCCGACTCCAGGCCGCTGTCCCCGTCCTGGGAATCYCCGGAAAATCCCCGGCCCTGGATCCGAGGGGACCCCGAGCCTCGATTCCGGAAAACATCGGGATCGGGACGCCCCAAATCCTGGGA